CATGAAATATTCATGACGAACAACAAACAACATTAAAGTTACTGTTTGGAAATATTTAAAAAAAAAACATTTACTCAGACTTTAGCAGTCAAAAACTCTGATGTTGACATTTGCAAAACTGTTTTTAGATCAGACTCTCATTAAAATGTTGCTGACATCTGATTGGTGCAGTGATTGGTCCGGCTGAGCCCCACCCACTTCAAGCCAGAGAGGACAGAAACTCTCATAACCCAAACTGCTCGAAACCAGTTCAACACCAAGTGTTGCGTCCTGTACACATTCGCTCTCGGCTTCGTGGCTTCCTGTACACACACACGTCACTCGCTAAAACAAACGACCATAATGTCTGACGTGCGTCCCGATCAGGTCTTCGTGTTGGTGCCCAGGTGTTGGGCCCACTGGGCCCAGTCAGTTTGCGTGGATATAATCATTAGCATTGTCCAGGAGCAGTGGTGCCTGACCCCCTCTAAACCATCATGGCCCTGCAGCAATAATGGGAATGCTAAATTGCAATTGTGTATGCAGCGGATTACCAGGACAGAGGGCACAATGTCAGAGAGAACGAGACAATGGGGGGGCAATTGACTGGCTTAACTAACACCAGCTTTTTATGTTGCCCATGTGGTTTGGGTTAAAAGGGGATGTATGTGTGCGGGAAGTTACAGGGCAGGGGGGTGTACAAAGGTGTCATGTGTCTGTAGTTAACCATCATATTCCTCAAACCCAGAAGTGATTGAGTCTTGAGTGAAATGAATCGTCCCGGGCCACGCTAGGGGCGGATTGATTTTTCCGATCGGGAGCTAGAGAGGAGGTAATGAGCCAACGCCGGGGCCTGCTGCAGAAAGTGTATCAGCAGTTTCCTGATCAATTGCTCTGTGATGCACCCCCACCCCTGTGAGCAGAGAGGAAGCAAGTGGGGGAAGGAAGGGAGAGAGAGAGAGAGACAGGGAGGAGTGGTGGAAGAGGAGGAATGTGGAGACATGGCAGGCATATTTGATGAGCTGCCCCTGCAATGCCTGAAGACCCAGCCACATGTAAGTTTCTTCAAATTAAAGTTAGCAAACAATTCATATAACTTGTTAACTTTAACTTGAAGAAACCTCATTGACTTGTGTGTTACCAGTTGAAGTAATTTCTTAAGTTGGTCCCACAATTTCCTTTTCTCAGTGAGGTTATTTAAGAGGGTTTGATTCTTCTTGCTGCAGCAACATTAAGACCTAAACTTTTCTACATTTGAATCGTGTCTTTATCATCATTTACCTTTGTTCATTTTTTAAATCAACTCTGGTGGTGGAGCATTGTCAAACGACAACATGTATTCATCCCATCATGCACACTATAGTGAGAGCATCTTTCTCCCACGTCTTACCTGAGGGTTTCATGTAATAATCCTCTATGTCAGCCATGTCCGTGTGCAGAGCACAGTCCAGATAACTCTGAATAACTTTCTTGCTGTAGTAGTAGCGCGCACCCATGAGAATGAGGGGCACACAGAAGGTCAGCGTGACCGATTTGGTCACGAAAAAGCACATTACTATGGAGAAATGGAAGAAAAATAAACGAAACCTGTCAGAAGAGAGAATCACATGTTTGATTTTGGCGGAATTCGACCCCACACACACACACACACACACACACACACACACACACACACACACACACACACACACACACACACACTCACACAGAGACACAAAAAGCAGATTCAACAAAACATTTTTAAGCATCAATGTTTGAAACAGATTTTGTCATAATGTGAACACTTTGGTAAAGAGAGATCAGGATTAGTTTCACACAGGTAACATTCATCATAGTGTGAGTGGAGCTGCAGGACCACACACTTTGACGGCATCAGACTTTTCCATAGAAAGATTGTGCTCCTGGTGGATTCATGTGCGTCCATGTTGTTAGTAATTAGTCGGATGTGACGCTGGGGGGCGCATAAGGAAACTCAAGTCAGGCTGGGTGCTGCATAGCATGTTGCTGCGTGGCATGCACTAACCTACAATAGTTGTTTGACTCCAAATCACGCCAGCGTGGTGTGAGACATCAGCGCTAGAATGTGGAGGGGTGATGACTCCTCTCTGTTCAGAGATGGTCACAGGCAGGGCCGACGTGTCTGTGCATGAGTGGAGCTGACGCCACATTGACACAGCGGCTGTTTTCTCACGCTGAAAACTGCGCAGACTTGATTTCGACGTGCCTAATGAGCAGCGGTCACGATGCGTAAAATTGCTCCAATTAGCGCCGGCAACATCATCAACAGCTAAAGGCAAACGAGTTCAGTGCATGACTGGCGCATTGACTGCTGTGCAGAGGCGGAGGGAGAGAAGAGGAGAGGGAGGGGTGCGCACGGTGCGTGTGCGCGCCGCGGAGCATGTTGCTATAGCTGTGTGTGTTGGGATGGCGCGCCGGGGTGGGTGGGGGGTGCTTTGTGGTCGGCTATACGTGCGCGCACCCTGTGGACCAATCCTCAAATTCATTCACTCAGTCATTCACGGCAGCGGCATGTCATCACACCAGCAGCGGCGGCGGCAGCAGCGAGGCTCTCGCCGGTTACGCACATGCACCGGTGCCATGCCTTTTGTTTGCGAGGGCGCAGGGTGGTGGTGCAACAGATTTCAACTTAACTGTACATCGCCTACTGGGGCCAGAGAAACGTTCGAGTGTGTGGGATCTAAGAGCAGATCCTCAAAACAGCCTGAATCACAATCAGGGTGGAAACATCACAGAGAGCGCAACGGAGACATTCGGCCTATTGTGATGAGAGCTCGGGGATGAAAATGCACAGTAATCACATTGGGGGTCATTTTCGTAAATAAATTGAAGTTTTTTCATTCATCGGTTAGTTGGTTGTGGTTCCTGTGGGAGTGAATGAGCCGGCACAGTGAGGCTCGGCCTACATGCTGCAAAGTAACGCTTGTACTTACCTGTGAGAAGAGCGTATAAAAACTGGGTCCGGGGCTGCTGCCTGAGCCCCCTGAACGCCGTGTTGGGTATCCTCTCCATGATACCCTCGTAAAAGATGCGGCGCACCTCCCCCTGATCCCCGCGCTCGAACTCGCGGATAAAAACCGCATCTCTCCGCACATCCTTGGCGTCGTCGGGGTTCAGAGCCGCGCTGGACGCAGGGGAGCTCCACATGATCGACTCTTTTTTGGTCCCAGGTATAGCATCGTGTTCGTCCGCAACAATTTTAGTCTCGCAAACCATTTTGGGAGACGAAAAATGCATGCAACTGGCCGCAAAAATCACAAATCTGCAGCTCGGGAGGGGAAAGAAAAAGTGATGAAAGAGTGCGAATGGAAAAATGGATGATGCGCGTGAGGGGGTTTTTCTTTTCTTAAAAAACAGAGAAACGATGAAAGGGGGGGTAAGACGAAGGGGGATGTTCTGCTGCAACCCTGAGCGCTTCTGACGACCAAGACTTGCCGGTGCGATTCAAGCCGTATTTATAAGCGGGCAGGGCGGGTAGACTCAGGTTCAGGGGTTGGTCCTCCCGCTGCACAGATTGGTGGAGGCGCTGCTGATGGAGGGAGGAGGGAGGGAGAGGCTCGCTCGTCCTCTCCGCATCTGAACGGGCTCAGTTCATGTGTGCCGGCGAAATGTGTATTTTGAGGAGCCATGCATGAGGGGGGGGGGGGGGGGTGAGATTGCGTAGAGGGAGGGAGGGAGGGAGGTTGTTTCTGAGCAGGTTTGTCTTCATAATGTCTCAGCGCGAGGAGGATCCCCGCTTTGTGGCGTTAGGGGATGCGATACGCAACCACAAAGGCGCAAGGTAAAGCGGGGGCGATGCGTCAAACAGGAGGGAATCCTGGTGGCCTGACGGGGGGACTGCACCTCTTATGTGTTATCATCAAACATCAGAGTTTGGCTCGTTTTCTTGCGTAATTTAGACTTCGCCTGTATTTTTCCTTGGAATCCGCAGAGCTCCTAATTGCATCACATCGTGCGTACATGTGTGGTTACGCAGATAAAAATCTTCTGATAATGAAGGGATAAAAACACACACATGACATTTTAATGACACAATGATTGGGTTTCATTCAGCCAGCAGTCGCTCTGGTGTCTGCCCAGTCTCCGCGCACTCTCAGTGGGATGTGTGCAGCCTCCTCCGCCCGTTGACTGACAGCTCTGCTGCACTGCAGTGATTCCTCCACGGCTTCCCTTCGCCTTGTCGCCCCGCTGCTGTCAAACATCGTTCCCAACATGGAGATTATATCTCGCCTTACTGCGCATCAAGACCCCCTCTCCACATTAGCCCACCAGCCGGCGCCTGCATGGCACCATGAGTGCGAGCGGCGACGAATGCCGGTTTTTACGCACGACTGTGGCGCTGGTGAGGAAGATGAGGGTGGTGATGATGATGATGATGATGATGATGCTCGATCTGGTCCTTTGTTGTCCCCCGACACTCCCATTAATTAACCGTGACACGAGCTTTTATTTGTGTGCTTTTATTCTGACATCTTCAGTATAAGTATAATTAGGGAGTGAAGAAGGTTTTGAAGACTTAATGTTTATATCAGTAGTTTCTCCACCGAGGAAAGAGTTATATGTCATGTTAATGTTTTTTATAGTTTGTATTCATCGTTAATATTGACAAAAATGATGCTGTGCAGTTGAAGACAGTTAGAAAACAATAGAATCAGAGTCCTTATCAGTATAAAATATCACAGTAAGCAGCATTTTTACGCATCATTGGCACACGATTGTCTAATGTCCATAAGAATGGATTATGGTATGAAGTTTTATTTTTTGATACTTTAATGAAGAAAATTTAATTTGACATGAAAATCCATATTTTTTTATATTTTTTCATTCTCAGCCTCTTTGTGGAAGTGAGCAGCAGATCCACAGTCGCATCGCTCTAGGTAAAGCAGAACTAGTTTGAACTGGATCACCAGAGCCAACCTGCTATTGATAAGGCTGCATCCACCCCCACTCCCTCACACTCAAGGTACCCCCCCAACCCCACCCCCTTCTCTCTCTCCCTTCCTCCCAGCCTAAGGGCCCCTGGAGGAAGAGGAACAGGAGATAATTTGCAGGGTCCAGGGCCCTCGAGGTGGCTCTGACACTTATTTTGGCATTTACGCCACAAAGATGCGGTGAGAAGATGGATTTGTGCGCAGCAGAAGCAGGTCTGCAGCGTTTGTGTGTGCGTGCGTGCGTGTGCGTGTGCGCGCGCCGGGTGGAGGATGCTCTGGGCATGCGTACTGTTTCTTTAGTGGTGCCTTCAAGTACTGTCGGTAAAGTCGCAACCATGAAACTGCAAACACCCCTCAGTTTGGCGCAAGGCTGGACTGAAACAACAATCCAACAATCTCAGCCCAGCATTTCTCACTTGCTCCTTCTCCGCCAGGGCCAATAGGGAGCCAGGGCCTAATCTGCTCTTGGTGCTTTGACAATCTGTCTCTCAACCAGACAAACTGTTTCCAGTTACCAAGTCATTGGTGGAGAGTGCTCTAACTAACAAGATCAATCTGAAACCTTGTTGAGACTCATCTGATCTTATCCCCCATTTACTTTGTAGTGTCAAACTGCAATTGGAGTTGTTTTCAGACGTGCAGAGCAGCAGGTGTTTTAGAAATGAGTTTCGATGACGACACACTGGAGAATGTGCCTGTCACTAATATTAGGCAACTGATGTAAAATGAACGCTGCCTGCAGCTTGATTATCAATATCGACTTCAGGCGTTTATCTGTGGGGATGTTTGTTGTTTGCAGATGACAAGGATGGAAAGTAGTTTGTATCTGGCTCCACAGACACAACAGAACAAATACTGGTACATTACAATTTGAATCAGTTATTGTGTGGTATGTGTCGTTCTGCTTTTTTATTTACGTTGCAGAAGTAAAATCTGAGATATGCAGTTAAATACAGCTGAGAACAGAGGTGACATTGAATTTCAATGAAAGGAATATATCATAATTTAGTTTTATATATTTTTGTGTGTTACCAATTAAATAATTTGCAAACAATCCTTTCTCAGTGTGTGTTAACACAAACAGATCTGACACGGAACAAACATCAGAGCTGCACCAATGCATTGATGCGGTCGATTGTTTAGGGACAATAACTGTACATCCCAGGCTGTGGCATATGAGCCGGATGCTGCTCACATGTTAAATGATGTGTGTGCAGATCTTTGAATTCACTGCACTTAAGAAAGCCTGTCACGTCATGCAGCGTGTGTGTCTGTGTGTGTGTGTGTCAGAAACAAGCAGGAATGTGTTTTCTACTTTCTCATTCATATACTGTTTGCGCTCAGTACAAGCAAGACAACAAAATGTATAAGTTATAATTATAGTTCTACCAAAGTTTTGCCTCCTGTGCATTGGTTATTTTAATTTATCCCATATTCAGCTTTTCAAGCCTGGCTATCAATCATCAGACGTTGATGTATATTCATAACTCACCATCTTTGAGTCACGAGTGTTGCTGCTGCTCCTCCTCCTTATTAACAGACCCCGCTGAAAATCCCCAGTCAGAGACGCACATATTGTTCCAATAATCTTGAATGTGACCTCTGACACTTTGTGTTTCTCTGCAGCCGTGGAAACCCCCTCCTCTAGGAACACCAACTCCGGTTCTCTGCTGCCGTGACCTCTGACTCCTCAGCAGCCGGCCAGGCCAGCGTGACTCAGTGTTTCCCACAGAGAGCACCAGAAACCAGGTCTGTTCTTCCACTTCGTTATGGTAGCTTTGTATTAAACTACTTTTCATATTATCATGTAGCTTGATAAGAAAAACTGATCTTTAGAGGAAATCTGGAATAAAATTTCAGGAATAAAATGGCAAATATAACGAGTACAGTACATGATACAAAGTTGTTGAACTCTTTATTTTTTTAATGTTCTTTGTATTTTCGTTGTGTGACGAAATCCCGACTTACTACCAGAGCCCTGTCTCCCTCTTGTGGCCACATGTCAGAGGCACACAGGGGAGGCAGGAGCTCACACGTGGAAATGATGACTTGTCAGATCTGTGGCTCATGAAGTTGCATCCTCACCACTAATCGTTCTCTCACTCTGCAACACACGGTTCACAGCCAATAATTTCCCCATTCATGAAGCTCAGCCTTGTCTTACCTTTAATATTCTAACTATCTTTATTATTTTCGACCCAATGACTGAGCCCAGAGGTGCTCAGCCTAACTGGAGCAGTGACATCTACAAAGAGTTATAAGGACATAAAATCTAAGAGCCTGTGTTCTTTTAGTTTTTTACTTTGTCGAAGCACATTTAACCCACATTAAATGTGAGATTGTGGCACAGCAGATAAAAATTAAAATAATGAAAGTCAGCATGATTCAGCAAACAAAAGCTGGAATATCAAAGTCTTGCTCAATCACACATCTCATTTCTGCTCCTCCTGCATCTTTCGAGGTGAGAGACTCAAGGTTACATTATTTCGTTATTTCACAGCGAGGCAGTTTAAATAAGCTTCTGCCGACAAAAGAGAAGAAACCTTTTATTTCTTCAGTGTCCTGTTCAGATAATCGTTTTTATTGTTGCAAACATTGAGCCTCGACTCTCTGTGTTTGTCATTTTCTTCCATCATATCCCTGTAGGGTTTAATAAGCTTTCATGATTCAGCACTGAGGTTTGAAGCTCAGTCAGAGCTGGAGCAGCAAGACAAACAATTCTCTGTCTGAACGCGACAGTCCTCTGGGCTTCATGAAGACTCAAGACAATGAGCTAAATGACTGAGTTCAAAACGTTTTAACCTCAGTAATAGTTGGATAAATGAAATCAAGCACTAAAATTGATTTTTGATTTCCTTGTGGCTCGATTTATACGACATAAGCACACAGTTTAAATTACACAACTGGTTGAAAACCTGTACCCTGCCTCCTGCTGCACCAGGGCGCAGGGTATTAAAATAAAAACTCATTTGAGGTTTCCCGATGTGTGATTGCTGGTGGCAGTGACATTTGCCTCGGAGCTGTATGCTGTAGTCACAGTATAAATAGTGAACAAGTACACTCAGCTCAAAACTACTGAGAACGCTCCTGATTCCCGTCGTCAGCAGCGTTGTTACTCGTCAGCCTCTGCAAACAAAACGTGAGTACAATACCTACGTACTCTGTACATTGACCGAACAGTTGGTAAATACTGTTATTTAGTAGTATTTTTGTTTGATTGATCTCATTTTTCTTCCAGAGGACGAGGATCCTCTGTGTTGCTGGTCTTCGGTTTTGTGGCTGCGATCACTGCAGCAGCAGTCAGAGGGAACTAGATGAGAAGATGTGATGTGGGTAAGTCTGTTATAATATTTGAATTGGTGTGTTGTGTCTGAAAGATGCAGCGCTCAATGAGAACGATGGAGGTTTGAAGCTTTTTGTCGACCAAGATGGCTGCCACTAAATTTAGTTTTCACTACGTCACTCGTGTCGTTGCTCTGATTGAGATGCATTTTGCATTTGTGAATTGGTTTCTGAGCTACACAGTGGCAGTGGTGTTCCTTCAGTAATATTTTAAAGATATTTCATGTGGATGTTGTAACATTGATTTAAAACATTTTAAATGTTCTTTTATATTCTGCTTCTGTCACCTCTGTCCCTCGGGAGCGTTTTCTTGCAGCGCTGGTCAGGTTTTTTCTAAGATTGTCATGTTATGAGTTATTTATGGAGGCCTTACAAAAAAATATACATTATGTATATTTAATGGGTTATCATGCATATCACTAATTCATGGTGCCCTGCCAAGATGGCAAATTCTCCAGCCTCCTGCTGTTACTCTTTCTGGCGTCCCAGTCACCAGCATGGAGCCGAAGGACAGAGACGCCAAGATGCACCAAGTTTTCTCTAGATTTAAAAAAAAAACCATTTTAAATTGAACACATGAAGTTGAAACTTTTGATGCTCTGAGTTTAAATCTTCCACGTCCAGATCATCCACTAACTAACTAATATATATAGTTATATAAATATCTAAAACAATAGCAGACACGGGTGGGTCTCAGATGTCTTTGTTTTAATGTCGTCGGTTTGGAGCCAGGAGGTCACAAGTCCCTGAAACCACGACACACGTTTCATCACATGGCTTCACAGCTGCAGTAATATATTGGCCTAAAGAGGCATTAAGTCAATTTCATGGACCATAAACAACAATAAGAAGAAAATATCCACCAGTAAGAATTTACTAAATCATTCTCCAGAAATCTTTTATGATTTTTCTTCTGCATGAATAAACATAATAAAAGTGTGTTCGTAGGCTGGACAGAGGTCGTGTTGATTTTCTCATCAACCTGGTGGTGATCTCAAGGTTGAAGTTTTATATTGTTACTTCTATTGTTTATGTAATATCATCAAATTAATAGTTCAAATAAGTCGTAGATAAACAGCTCAAGTATACGTTTGGATAAATGAATCTTGACTCGTCTGCAACTGTAAATACATAAACTTTGTATTTACTGTTTAAACAAACAAGCTTCAACTGACCTGAGCTTTTACAGCTCAGACGAATTTCAAACAAGTGGTGTTGACGACAAAGACGTTCAGGCTCACAGCTGTTTTATTCCTATCAGTTTCATGAAGCACAGTCTGAATTACTTGATATGCTAAATGTGCCTCATGCTCATCTGAGGTGAATAAACTTTTGTGTCAAGGTCACAGCAAGTACGATGGAGGGATAAAAAGGGAGGATGATATTGAGCATTTTCTGCTCGCTTGAATTTCAAACAGCTGGAGCGATTCACTCAGCTTCTCCAGGAGCAGATGAAAGCACAGTTGAAAGGCCTCTGCAGAGAGAGCAAGTCGATGAGTGGGAGAGAGACAGAGTGAGAGAGGAAGTGGAGACAACAAGGATTTTTCAAAGTGATGCAGCCTCGACTCTGCCTATTCAAACTTCAGCCTCCAGTAGGAGCCTGCTGGCTTCAAGCTGCCAGAGAAGTGGGGTTGCCTTGGCTTGTGTGCCGTGGTGCAGTATGAGGGGATTTGCCTTGATGGTGCTGGCAGCACATGGAGGAGCCTCTGGGCTCAAGCTCCTGCCAGGTCGCTGCAGACGCCTCAGTGGCCAATGTTGATGCTCGGTTCTCCTCTGTACGTATTTTCCGTATTTCACCCCATCTGCATTTACGGCCATGGGGGAAAGTGGAGATTGTGCAGAGTGCTGCATCACTGCGACACAGCTGGCGAGCCGCTTTACTTGGGGCTCCTCCTGCTGGTGTAGATAAGGGCCTGGAAGGTTTTTCTTTTTTCCATGCTGTAATCCCTGTTGTAAATAAATAAAGAGGTGTGTGTGTGTGTGTGTGTGTGTGTGTGTGTGTGTGTGTGTATACCACAGCAGAGGTGTTGTAAGGTCCTGCCGATTTAGCTGACCTCATCCCCTCCCACACACACACACACACACACACACACACACACTCACACTCTGCTCTGTCGGGGTTGTTGCTCTGCAGAACAGCTCCTTGGATGAATCAACACAGAGGAGAAGTGTTGCTGTGGTGCAAGGTGTTGCTCATATTCCACTAAATAATCACAGAAGTGGATCCCTGCCATCTCCACTTAAAACCGAATCTGCTGTCACTTACTATTCCCCTTTTTTAGTCTTCTAAAGTTTTTATGTTTGGGTATTTTATGTTAATTTCAACTGTATGCTGACTTTGAATGGACCAAACAATCCAGAGGTAAATCAAAAACATAAATAAACAATACATCAGTAAAAAAACACACAAAAAAACATTGAAGTTTCAGTCAGAGAAAACAGTCGAGGTCATTCATTGTTTTTATTAAGTTACAACATTAAGACAATAGATGGATCTTCCTGTGACATCACGTCAACAGAACAATGTTCATGAACAAGCAACAACAAGACAATAACTATTTCTATCTCCTGCTGCTGCAGCTACTTTCCCTCTATTGTTCCTTCTGCTGATGTCACAGTTCACCTGACACTTTACATCCCTACTACTCGTTATCAGACCGAGAGGACAAAGTCTGGAGACACCTGCGTAACATGTACTCGTGTACACGTTAACTTATACATACAATCTATATAGTAACAGTAGTTGAACAGAAAGTGCTGTAAATTCATGCTACAGTGCTGTGCTCAAATCAAGAACTACAAGGACGCTCCCTCTGCCTTAAAAAATCTGAATATTGTTTGCAAAATTGTATATTTTTTTCCACTGATGTTTCTTTACAAAACAAAATCTAAAAAAAGACAGTTTTTTATTCAGTTACCAAACCTTTTTTTTTTTTTTTGCAAAACAAGCCAGGCTGCAAATCAAATCTTTTAAATCTGTGGAATTGTTGTCATTTTGCTGACAGGTCATTTGATGAACTAATTAAAAGCAGGTAAATAAATTCCATGAGATGCTACAGTTTGATGTGTATAATCATCGTAAACATTAATCTCATACAACACATTCGACGAGTACATTTTACCAATGCATTCTACTATATCTACATTATTCAGTCAAATACTAAAAAGTACAAAAAATAGTTTGTTTGGTAGGAGACAGGTGAGAGCTGAACCAAACCCAATGACGGTGAGAACTGAAGTAAACGTGTGTTTCACTAACGTGAGCAGGTTTAAAAAAGTCGTCCAGAATAAGGCAACAACTAAAACATGACTTGAAGATGATTTGAAATAAAAGCTTCACTCAACAGTGACGACAAAGAAAATAAAGTGCCTATCGTGAGAATAAGTTAAGATGAGAATGTACATGAGGGCGGAACAGGGTTGTGTTCAGCATGGAGGGGGGGGGGGATGCAATGACGACCGGTGGACGTGTCCTCGGATGCACTGGTGGTGGTGGAGAGCAGATCTCAGCGCAGCGAGCTGGTGGGCATACAGTCGCACAGAGCCCTCCTCTCCGCTCTCAGCACCAGCATCTCTGTCTGCAAAGGGACAGTTTAACACGTATCACGTTTTAAACGAGACATGTAATGATTTTTTTTGCATTCCTTCTTTCCTCTTGTGTGTTATAAAGGTTTTTTTGTGGATATTGAAACTCATCATCAGCTGTTTAATACTCTGAACAAATGGAGTAACTCATTGAGAAAATGAAAGCGTTCCACAAATCATCCAGAGGAGCAGGACCTACCCTGGCATCAAGGTTGAAAGCCGTCTTCTTAAGATCCTGCAGCGCCCTCTGCATGAACTCAAATGCGTGACAGTCCACACACGGGCGGCCTGGAAGTGAAAGCAAACATTTCAGAAATTAGAAATAATAATTTATATTTTCCTGGTACGATGAAAATATCCTCTGAATTATTTATTTCACAATCTGAATCCTGAGTCTGTGAATATTTGGTTGCACAGCGCCCTCTGTTGCCACAAGTACGAATCACAGCGTATAGATAGAGAAATCATTTTGATATAAAGTTATATTATATGAATTCTTTTTCATTTTTAAGAATAAGATTGTGTTGTTCCTGCATATTCTGTATCGATCGCATTGATGGATTGAGTAGTTGATGGATGGGAAACTAAAGTGAAATATTTTGATTACTGATATTATTAAAGAAGAAATCCTGAATATTTGTGTGTTGCAGCTTTTGAACCGTCAGAGTTTTGATCATATATTATAGTCAAGTAAATATATCTGTGGAACAAAACTACTGAAACTCTTCACTGTGGGTTGAGAGATATTTATATACAGTATTACATATGTTACACTATTTGTTGTGTAAATTAGTCAAAGGCCAGAAAATTCATTTAAAGTATTTTGATCATTGATTTTAGTTTTTTTAACATGAGATCACTTGTGATAAATGTATATTTTATATGTACAGTAGTAGTCTGCAGAACAATGTGTAATTAAAACAATTAGGGGAGGTTTAAATTCACATATGGATGTCATGTATAAAAGTAAGTACAGGAAATGTTTATGATAAGGTCCAGTTAAAATGACATTTTTAAAATGAGTGTGTTTAAGGCCCAGTTTCATGTTGATGTCACGATGAACTGTCTCCACCAATTAACACGACCTTCTCATTAAGAGACTCCAGCAGGGAGCTGCTGCCATCAGAAAAACCTCACTGAGGCGAAACAAATGAAACCTGACAAGCATTTCCAACCCCTCCACAGGAACCTCGGAGCTGCTGATGCACCTACTTTCTGCAGGGATGACGGTCCCGGGCTCCTCGGCAGCTGCAGGGACACAGACGAGCTGCAGCATCAGGAGGAGCACCGCTGTCTGCAGGTAACATCTGGATGACATGATGCTGCTGCTCCGATGGTCGATCACCTTTAACACGGGCACAGACATCAGCAGCTGTTTGCTCTGCACAAACACAACAGCGGTAATACAAAAAAAAAAAAAAATGTCCTACACCGCCGTCAGTGGATGGAACCCCTCACAGAGCCCGGGCTTTGTTCAGACAGACACAGTTTTCATCGGTGGATCTTCGCGTGGTATTTAAAAACACAGATTAGACAGAAAGCGTGACGTGAATCTAACGACCTACCTCCAATCAGTCGATGATGTTCACGAGCTGCAGGATGCGGGATGTTTTATGTAGGTTAGCGTAGTGCGCGTGCGCAGGGTTCATCTGGTAATGATGCTCGAGGGACCAGAATCAAGACTTCCGGTGAACATTCAAAGTTAAAGCCTGGATAAATACGCTTTCAACACAGATTCTATTTATTTTGTTTTTATAAATCAGTTAATTGAATCTGGCTGAAATTAATTAAGTCAAATGAAAAAAGCCTGTAATAAATTTAAGCTCCGTAAATTATATCCGTTAGTACAATAGAGAAGTAAAACTGGTAAAAATCTAAAAGTATACATAATAATAGAAATGAGCCCCATGTCAACCAGCTACCACAATCAGATGGTATAAGGTGATGTCTCCATATGTTTACTATATCACAAGAAGGGACAGCTAATCCTGCCACTGGACACTTTTTAAAATGTTTATGTTTAAGTTATTAATAAATTATAAAAGTTAATTCAACTTACAAACAGTGCTTTGTGTGCTTCTGCAGTAGTAATCAATTGCTTTACTTTTTATGGCTGCAATGAACTGTTGTTTTTCAGTTTAATCCTCTAAATTACTTTTCGATTATTTGATGTAGTGTTTGGTGTGAGAGTCATTAGAAAAAAACCAAAACGACTGCTGCACAGAATCCAAGATCCAGAGGTCAAGTCTTCAGATGGTCTTCAAGTGTCTCATGTCGGAGCTAAAGTGTTGAAACAAATGTTCTCAGTTGGAACATCCTTCTATATGAGAGGCTGGAATTCTTTTGAATGCTTTTAAACAGTTTTACTACTTTTCTTGGATATGACAGTATATTTTTGGGGGGTTATCTTAATATACACATCAACAGATATTTTTCAAGAGCTTCAAGTATTATTGTTGTTTCATCCTGACAAAAAAAAAGACGTGGTCTTGTCGTGATCAGAAAAATAAAAACACACCAGCCACTTACTGCTCCAGTTGTGTTGTGTGTGAACAAACCCATCAACAGAAGTGAAACCGGTTTCTGATCCAGATACTAATTGGATTTTAAAGAGTCAGAACAAATCAAAGTTCAACACAGATTCACTCTTTTAAAACTTTATTAATAAACCAGTCAGAGACACAGCCAAAGAGTTTGAATGTGGTACAGATGTTTTTATTCCAGATGTCTCACGCGCTCTTCTGGTGCCCCCCCCTGCTCGGTGTGGGCGGGGTCCTGACTGCTGTTTTCTTAGGTAGCCCGTTAAAATGCCCGCACTCAAAACACTTCTTTTTCCAAGATGGCGTCGATGAAGGACAGCGACACCGGCCTGTGGCTTCACAACAAGTTGGGCTCCACGGACGAGCTGTGGACGCCGCCGAGCATCGCCTCGCTGCTCACCGTGTCGGTCATCGACAACATTCGGCTGTGCTTCTCCAGCCTGTCGCCGCCGGTGAAGCTGAAGCTGCTGCTGGGGATGCTGCACCTCCCCCGGCGGACCGTGGACGAGGTGAGCCGCTAGCGCGTTAGCTCGGCGTTAGCCTGGCGGGGGAGCGTTTAGCGCTCAACCCGCACACAGACAGACAGACAGGCGGGCACGCAGAGCTCCGGCGCGGGTTAGTGCCGCTAATTTAAAACCCCGCTCCCCCTGGAGGCGTTTTAACCCGATATTAAAACACGCAACCAAGCGTTTAACTGTGCAGGGTTAGCATTAGCTTAGCTTCCTTCGCCGCTGCCGTATGTTTTAATTGTTAGTCAACGCTGCAAACTTCTCGCTGCAAACTTTCTAAACTTCAACTCGACGATAACGAAGTTTTGAACAAGCCACGTCCACGCTTGGTCGGTTCCCAGCTAACTTATCTGCGGCGTTAGAGAGCGTTTTCCCCCCCGGTGGCTTAGCGGCGACGACGGGAGACATTAGCCCGCTAGGTCTGGTCCCGACATGATGGTGGGATGGGCGCTGGAGAGCTCAGCAACCGGGCGGGAGCTGGAGGGCGGCGCCTGCCTCAGCCCCGCAGATCCTCCGTTAGCTGCCCGCAGATTTTTTTTAACACGTTCCCCGGTGTCCTGCGCGTCCGCCCGCGGGTCCACAGTCCTCTGCACGGGGCGTGTTGTAGTTTTATTCACGCGGAGGAATTTAAACACGTCTCACTACAGGAGAATCTCCCACAGGTTGTCACGGATCGTCAACAACAACAACGAACGCACAGGTAGATGATTCATTTGTGGAGAAATTATAATAAACTACACGTGCAAAAATATCCACTGACTATATCACAAAGAATAAACCAACTGCACAATAACACAAACTCTGCGCTTTGCAGAAAACATGGTTAAAGAATCATATGCACGAGAAATATAACAAGTAAATAAAATACACGGTTTAAATCTTGAAAGGGAAGATCATGAAATCATTTTGAGCATTTTCATAAAACAAAACAGATTCTTAATCTTTATCAGTTTTGGTTTTGTCAATAAAAAGCATGTGTTGTTTTCTCAATTAGTGTTACTCTGTAAACATGAAAATATATTAACACTGATAAAACTATGATGTATATACATTTCTTTTAAAAGAGTTAATGATTAAAGAACATTTTATGTAGTAATTGACTGTACTGTTGTTTAACAGTCAAACTTTGCTCAATAAAAACCATTAACGCGATCTGTTACTGAAAACAAGTAAGTTATTCAACGTTCATTAACTTCTCCGGCTGTGTGAGTTTATTTTTTTTGTTACTCAAAGTTGTTGAACGCCACCGTCCTCTCTCGCCAGATGAAGGAGGCCCTGTCGGAGATAATCCAGCTGGCCACGGTGGACTCGGAGCCCTGGGTTCTGATGGTCGCAGACATCCTCAAGTCCTTCCCAGAAACCGGCTCTCTCAACCTGGACCTGGAGGAGCAGAATCCAAATGTGCAGGATATTCTCGGCGAGCTCAGGGAGAAAGGTGGGGGTTTTTTTTCACAGTTTACTTGATGATAATATCTAATCTTATTGCTGAGCCTGTGGACTAAGAACTGGCCCTTAATTTGCTTTTGCACTGTTTGGATAAATAGGTGAAATACAAACTGCAATATCTCATCATGTGAGTTTGCTCCCAGCAGTTTTCTGAACCCTTTTTATGAGTTATGATTGTCGTCACGCGCCTTCATCTCGTTCGATCCTCTCTTCCTCAGTGAGTGAGTGCGAGGCGTCCGCCATGCTTCCTCTGGAGTGCCAGTACCTGAACAAGAGTGCGTTAACCACTCTGGTCGGACCCCTCACCCCCCCTGTCAAACATTTCCAGCTGAAAAGGAAGCCGAAGAGTGCGACCCTCAGAGCAGAGCTGCTACAGAAATGTAAGTTCCTCATTTTTACCTTTTGTGGTTTGGTTATAGAATATTTAGATTTGCTGTTAGGCTATAGCCACGATTGTAAAACACATTTGTTGATAATTTATAGCACAGAGGTATTTGGGATTCCCTCACACTTGGAATGTTGAAGTGACATATTCTGTATTTCTTTCTGTTCCAGCCACAGAGACAGCCCAACAGCTGAAGAAGACAGCCGGAGTGCCTTTTCACGCCAAAGGGAGAGGACTGGTCAAAAAGATTGACACTACAAGTCAGTATTTAGGCACCTGAGATAATTATCAGTTTGACACTGATGATGTCCCTGTTGCTGATACTTGTCTCAATATTTGTTCACAGCGCCTCTCAAGGGGATCCCCAAGGCCCCGTTCCGCAGCCCCACTGCCCCCAGTATGTTCAGCCCTCCCAGTAACCGCACACCCGTAGCCCCTGCACGGACACCCCTGCGTAAGGAGAGGGGGGTCAAGGTAATCTCAAGTCCTGCTTAGTGTTGCTCATGATAAATACTGTGTGAACGAATCAGTTTTACAGTGTTTTGAAATGTTTGTTCTTTTTTTCCTCCTCCAGCTGTTAGATATTTCAGAGCTGGACGGGGTCGGAGCTGGAAGAGAAGCTAAGAGGAGAAGAAAGACTTTGGGTAACTTGTTTTCCCGTGCGCCGTCTGTCCAAGTTTTAGAGCTGCTCCTTGAACGTCACACTCCAGTAAACGTGTCGTTGAACTGGTTGATGTTTTCTCTGTTGTAGAAACGGAGGCCGGAGAGAAAGCAGCCAAAGAAGAAGCTGTGGTGGAGAACACCACACCAGACTATGCTGCCGGCCTCGGCTCTGCACAGGTACTTCACCACTTTGTCTGACGGTTCCCCCTCTTATCTTTCACCTCTTCTTCAAACCTGCTAATTGTTTTGTTTTACAGAAACTTGGGGCGCTGAACGAGAATCCTCTGCCGTCAACCAGTTACCTACCAGCCACCCCCAGCATGGTTCCCTCTTCCTCTTACATTCCCAGCTCCGAGGCACAGCCAGGTCAGACACCACCACACTGCTTTTTATTCTTTGATTTCACACAGAGGACAACGTCCCCATTATCTCACGCTCTCTTCATCAACCTCTTCCAAAGCGAATGCTGGCGGGTCGGGTCGAGACACGCTGCAGTCGGCTCGCCAACCAGAGGAGTCGGCAACAGCGGGCGCCGGCGCCACCCCCACCTTACCTGGCCAGTACAAACAGAGGACGCCGATGTACAACGCCAGCACCACAGCTAATCCCGCCACGCCCACATCCCCCAGCACACCGGCGTCCACCCCCGCCAACAACGGACCCCCAGCTGCTGCCACAGCCAGCCAACCAGAGACCCCCACCCAGCCTCCCAGCACACCTCAGACGCCCACCCCAGCGCCAACCCCTACGCCACCGCAGCCCCAGCCCAAAAAGAATCTCTCGCTCACGGTAAAGTGTAGAATGAACCTGTGGAGTTCAAACATTTCCCTCCCAACACTGAATCTGTCAATTAGTTTACATTTACCAATATGGAAATATGTGAAGTTGTATTTACAGTTTTACTTATAAAATGTGTATTTACTGTAGTATTCTGAACTTCTATATACTTTGTTCAGTTTTCTATTTATTTCTGGTTATTTTTAGTTTATAGTTTTCTTCTCAGTCAGTTAAAATCTCCCGTTTCTCGTCATCAGAGAGACCAGATGTACGCGGCCCAGGAGATGTTCAAGACGGCCAACAAGGTCACCAGACCCGAGAAGGCCCTCATCCTGGGCTTCATGGCTGGATCCAGAGGTACACACGCCCTCGTGCTCAGGGAACCAAAAGCTTTTTTTATCCTAACTAGTTTTAAATTTCTGCTTTCGCAAGCCTGCTCTCAGTTTGAGGGACATTGTTGCACAAATTTATCTTGTGACTGATATTCCACCTGTGTCTGTTTATTTGTAAATCAGTCCGAAAGGTCACAAGAAGTTGCTGCTTGTTGTGACTGCAGACGTCACCTTGTGGAGCTTATTTGTTGAATTTAAAGCAAAACCAAATCACGACACAGTGATAAAGCAATAATAACCGATCTGCCTCCTCCTGTCTTGCAGAGAACCCGTGCCCGGAGCAGGGGGACATCATCCAGATCAAGCTGAGCGAACACACAGAGGTTCTGCCCAAAGCCGACGGCACCGGCAGCACCACCATGCTGGTGGACACGGTCTTCGAAATGAACTACTCCACAGGACAGTGGACCCGCCTCAAGAAATACAAACCCATCACCAATACCTCCTGAGGCGCCTCGTTCACTCAAAAAAATCACACACCCAAAAATTCTTATCCACTTCAAAAAGAAAAAAACATGTTTACACAAGTATTTGCAAACACGTCTGGGCCAAATCGAGGACTGGGAGGGCGAGAGGTGGACAAGGAGAGAAAGGTCCTCCCTTTTCCTGCGCTGCCAAAATGCAGGACTCCGAAGAATATTTCTGTACCTTTTTGTTTTGGTTGTTTCCCTTTTATCGTTTCTGTTTTTTTAAGTGGCCTCTGATTCCTGAGGGATGCTGTGGTCAGGAGGGGTGAGAGTGTTCCACGAGTCTGAGCAGAGGAATCCTTCTCACGGCAGGCACCTTTCAACATTGTTGTACTCTGGAGTACAGGCATGTCACGTGTTGAGAAAGACGATGTGTATTTTTTTTTTTGTATGAATGTCACATTCAGCTCATTCTACCTTGGGGTTTGTGACAGGAGACAAAAACACAGAACGATAACGACCGTCACCCTAGAGGTGGCCAAAAAAAAAAAAAACAAGATGAGAAGTAAATAATTCTCAGTGCTGTCAAGTTCTGTTTGCAGCCTTCTGGTAGATGTTGAATAATTTTTCATCCTTTTATTAAAAGAAGGGAAGAAAATAAAAAAAAAACAAGAGGACATTTCTCATCTTTCTTTCTCGATTTGAGCTTTTTGTTTTTGAGCTGTCAACAATTACCCATGTTTGTGTTTTGTTTTTAATCATCTCCTGTTTTCCTCCCAACAACATTTAACACGACCGCTCACTGATTATTGTGTCTTCTACAAGTCTGTCTTACTTGTGCGCGTTAACAGGAAGACAGTGCCACAGTTTTTTAGCAACATTAAACCTACGTGGGAAGCGAATAAGCGCTGATCTACTGTACTAACTTAAAACTGGTTGATACGATAGACTGCGTACAAAGATGGACGACCCGTCTTCTTGACCTCCTGTTGTGCAAAGGAGAAGCTGAAATATCCCTGAGACAAGTACTGGCCCCTCGTGCTTTGACGTATTTTACTGCATCAAATAAGTGAGTGTGTGATCTGAGCGATGCTGCATCCGGCCACCAGGGGACAGTCAAGATGATTTGGTCCATCTTTTTATACAGTTCATGATTCATTTATAGATTTCTTTTCTTTCTATAGCTCAGACGTTTGTGCTAGTATTTGTTTTCTGCAGTATTTGTATTACAACTATTTCCATCTCTTCACTAACTATGTTTCTTCCTGGTTTGGTGCCTCTGGGATTCCACGGCCTTTTCACCCGGACTCATGCACCTGCTGCAAAAATCTGTGTTTGGTCATGAAGAAGATGTGAAGTTGTATAAACGAGAGAGAAAAAGATTCAGACAGACGTTTTATTGTATTTGCAGAAACAAAAGAATTGCAGCATAAAAACAGGCGCCACAATTAAATGCCAGTATGCAACATTCATATTATCACACAACAAAGGTTTAGCACAGTTTCGTCAGCGTGTAAAACATTTGCCAGTTACTGAGGTCAGGTGAGTTTCTTTTATCTTTATATATATAGATATAAATTACAGTATGATACATTAGATATGAGTTTAAAAGTCACAAACATTTATAATTCACACCTTTCTTTGCTGGGGGTCGTTTCCTCACTAGATCAGATGCACCTGCTGGCAGAGGACAGAGTTCACCTGTCCGAGGAGTCAGGTGACAAACTCCCAGCATGCCTCTGGTAGGTCTAATTATTCAGAGCAGAACCAACCTGTGTGTGTGTGTGTGTGGCCCATTTTAAACTGAAATCATGGAGTGACCTTTAGAGAGTTGGAACAGTAACGTGTGTATGTAACTATACAGCTGCTGGTTATAAAAATGAGGTAAAGACAAAGTTTAAAGTTGTTGAAAAACAAATCTGCTATTTAATTTCACATTTCACTCACGAGGAGTGAAACATGAGCTGCACAAAACCCTTGTCTCTGATAATGTGAATGCTTCATTTAAAAAATCAACGTTTTTTTTTAAAGCTTGTATTTATTACGGTCCCTGAACAGGGCTGACGGTAGAATCACCTCACGTAGCAGCAGATCCTTCATTAGTACGAACTAATGTTTTAAACTAGAACATTCAGTGCACTGATTGTACCTCTTGGTTTGATTGTGTACTACAGGCTCCGGTGTGGACATTTGGTCATGGCTGAGGTTTACTTGGCTCCAGGGTCCCTCCAGCCTCCGAACGCCTTCTCCAGGTGCAGAGCCACGGCCAGGGTGAGATGGTCCTGCAGCTTCCCCCCCACAACCTGCACGCCCAGGGGCAGACCCTCCTCGCCCAGGCCCAGAGGACACTGGGTGACCGGCAACCCCAGGATGTTGATTATACCTGCGGACAGAGACGAAGAGATTAAATGGTTAAAGGTGTGTGAACAAAGATAAGGTAAGTGGAAAAACAGTTTCACACACTGTTGAGAGAGAGCTCTGGGTTATTCCATGAACTGAAATAATATAAAAGACATGAACTGGAAAAAGCTTGAAGCCAGGACCGCTCACTGACCGGTGTAGGCGAAGTCGAAGGGTCTGAAGAGCGGGTGGTGGTGTTTGGGCGCCACTCTCGGGTGTGAGGGGTAAAGAAAAACTCCGTCGGTGCCCAACAGCTCGTCCACCTTCCTCTGCAGATTCTCCTTCTGCTGGATGATGAAGGGCGGGGATTTGGACACGTGGGTCATCTCCAGCAGGGCCAGACCTGTGGACAACGACACACACACATAAACCCAACCTCCTCCACGTTAGTTGATGGGACAGGGACCAAACTAAAAAGTCTTTCTGTTGTTTGAAGTAATTCTGACTCATGTTTGTTCAGCTACTCATTTATGTGTTTGGTTTTGATTAATAATTTAATGCTATGATAATGAGCCGAAACATCATGATTGACAGCTCAGACTGACTTGAGATGCATCTTGATTTACAGTCCGTCACATATAAACGTTTTCTCTCTTACCAATCGCAGCCATGGTGTGCTCTGACTTTCCCATCATCCATTTCAGCAGCTCCCACAGAGGCCACACCGGTCGTCCTGGTTCCCCCATCAGATGAGCGAACGGCACAGGAGGCTGAAGCGAGGTAACGTTTTTAAACACAAACTTATTTTTGTTTCAAAGTTCACGATGATAGACCCACTCAGTGTGTAAATCATCTTTAAGTGGCACACAGTCGTGTTCTTTCTGCAGAGCAATCATTATCGTGCTGGAAACATTTACCTGTGTTCGCACCCTCGCTGCACCGGGACGGTGATGTCTCAACTCTGGACTTTCATTTAAAAACGAGCAGTTTCAGAGACATTGAAATGCTTTAGAGCAGAAACAATACTCAGCACATTAAATATTAGAAAGAAACGTGCTGTCTTTATGAAACCATCTTGAAGCTTTGATGCTTAAACCACTCGATTAAAAATCCACTTGAGTTTAAAATAAAAGGAGAAAGGAGCCTCAACAAAGAGGTTATTGTGTCATAAGCTCTCTTTAATCCAGCTGCAGTAACGCTCCTCCCAGACCTTGTAAAGTAAGTCTGGGATTCTTACTTTACATTCAGCAGTCGAGTGGTTACCAACCTCGACTCCATGACGTGGCTCACTAAATAAATGTGCTTGTTTGTGAGAGGATTCTTCTACATCAGTTTGTATTCATTCTTTGTGAAATGTCAAGTGATATTTCTTAAAAGTTTCATTCAATCTCATACCTTAAAAAGGAACTTCAAGTTATGTAATGAGACAACGTGAGAAATATGAGACCAGACAGTTTTCTGTCAGGGGTCACGTCATATTTATCACATTTATCTTAATGTTTAATCTTAACCTTAAAAGTAAAGTGTGACTGCAGCTGTGAAATAAATGTACTGGAGTATAAAGTAACATGACATTTTTAAGTGAACTACAAGTACCTCAAAATGACACTAATGTACAGTTCTTGAGTAAATGTCCTCTCGTTTGAAGCGGAATATATAATTGCAGGAAGATAAACCAAGACACTGTCAATAAGTAAGGACACTGTGGTAATATTAACTCATCAGATCTGCTGTCCTCACAGAACTCATCTGTTCAGTCACATTTGACTTCCTATGGGGACAAAGAGCAAGTCTTTGTATTGTAATTCAGTGTCGAGCACAATCCTCCGTCAGAACCCAAAAGTCCCCTTGAATTCATCAAGCTGCACTAACACTCATAGATATCAGGTTGCTAAATATGCCTGAATATTTTCTTCAAGATCCGAAGATTATTCTCTGAGAAATCTGTGAAAATGTTCATAAAACGCATCTTTTAAAACAAAAAGGGATAAAAAAAATCCTAGATCTTCTGCTTTGTCCAGATCCACACTAGAATTTCAAGGGTTCTCTCTTGACCCAAGTCCAGTTTTGTGGTAATCAGTAGATTTAGTGTCGTCCTGCTGACGAACTAATGAACCAACAAATGGACAGCAGCACAATCACGACCCATTTGGTGGAGGTAATACAACGTGTGAGTGAGAAAACAGATTAGTGAACCATTTCTAAGCAGCAGAACACAATAAGCCCTGTGACTAAGGCTTGATCTGCTCTCTTGTACTGTGAAACATGTTAATACACCCTGAGTTTCAGCAGCAGCAAAGTAATAAAAACCCGTTTCTCTCCCGTCTTTCCTGTTTATCTTCATTCCACCACCGGAGAAGTGGATGAAACAACAGATGATCTGTTGTCCGGACACATTGATCTGGATCCAGTTGTCAGACGTACTAACCTTTCCCTCCTTATCAGGGAGAGACATGTAGGTGTCCCAGATTTTGAAGCTGTAGCGGAGCTCAGGGAAATGCACTTCCTCCACTTTTACTCCGAGATCGGCCTCCAGACGCTCCGCTACCTGGAGAACATCACATGAGGATTTCGATTGTAAAAACGTTCCTGTTAGGTTGTCAGACACTCTGCAAACCATTTAACAGACGGACTCAACACACCTTTCTCTGAATGTCCAGGAGCTCTTTGCTGACGGGGTACGTCAGAGCAAAACCACCGTCATGAGGGATGGTGAAGAACCGCAGCTTCTTCAGGTCAACCTTCGCGTTTAAGGACAACCTGTAAACACGTGAAAGCAAACATTCTCGGTGTTGGAGAGAGACACTTGGGAAAATCGTCCCTGCGTAAAATGGGACACACGCTGAGCTCTTACATGTGAGCGTTGGGTCCCACCATGATCTTGAGCATGGGCAGCAGGTCCTCAGCGTAGCGGCACATGGGCCCGGTGCTGACGTACTCCCTATGTCTGCCGGAGAAAGGAGGGTACTGGTTCTCAGGAGATACAACACCTGCAGAGACACACTTACTGAGTCACAGTGGAGTCTGATGTTTGAATATAAAGGATTATCTTGTCCTATAACAATTCAGATAAAACAGCTTTTTTAATATAGAGTCAACATTAAGTTTCTGTAGCTACCAGGAGTCGTTTTATGGCCAAATATTCCATTGAAGAAACACGGCATGCGGATGCTGCCGCCGATGTCTGAGCCGATACCGATGACTGCGCCTGCTGCTCCCAGGATGCTGCCCTCTCCCCCTGAGGCCGGTCAGGGACAACAAGAGACAGAGGGGAAGGAGATAAGTCTGAGGACCTGGCAACAAGATTCAACCTCAGTCCTGTTTGATTATAGTTAATTGGATAAAGTGTCCAGCATTACACGGTTTATTCTCTGAGGTCTATGTGACTAACACACGACAGTAAACCTGCTTTATTCGTCCATTTGAACCTTATTTCATTCATTACATTCTGTACATTTGTGTCGCAGCACTCTTTTCTATTTTTGTACTACTCAAGAGTCTGTGAAACCAACATCATGAGAAGCGTCTTGTTAAAGTTTTGTTTATACCATCGTACCAACTATTCGGCATCTATATGCTGTATATAAACAAACAGTGATGCATTCGTAAGTAGATATAAATATTTTAAATGTATTTGTCTACAACTATAACAAATCAGTTCATCTTTGAGTCCGAGTGAATGTTTCAGCCAGATTTTAAAAGATTCCCTGAAGGTGTTCGTGAGATGACAAGCTCACAACGCAAAGAATATCTTTAATGAGGTCAGCGGGTCGTTGACCTTTTAGCTTTGACCACTTAAACCTAATCAGATAATCATATTTTCTCTAAAAGCCTCCCTGATGTATCGTGTTCGTGAGAGAGTGGGACAGAAGAGCAGACGACCTGACAACACAAAGGCAAGAAAAAAAGATCGATGGAGTTCCCCTTTAAAGAACCAGAACCAGAGCCTCTGTCTTTGTGTGTCTGCACAAAGTGAACAAGTGAAGTGTAACATGATTATGAGGTAAAACCAGAACTCCTCCTGGAGACAAAGAGACTGAGTCCAACTTAAAGCGTCTCACCTCTGAACTACACAAGTGTCGGATTCCCTCTTTTCCCTCCAGCCATTAACACAACAGCTACTGACCTGAGCTTCCTCCCGGTATCCTCTCCAGGTCGTACGGGTTGTTGGTGATGCCCTTCAGGTGGTTGTGGGACTCGCACCACATGCACAGCTCGCTGGTGTTGGTGACGCCCAGCGGGATGGCCCCTGCTCTCTTCAGAAGGGCCACAGGTGGAGCGTCGACCGTGGCCACGACTCTTTGCCTGCTGATCACACCTGTAGTGTTGGGCATGCCTGCAAGACGGACGCGTGTCAGCTGCGGTACGGAACAAATCACTTATTTTCATGCTTATTTGTAGAAAATGCTTTATCCTCTCATTCTTTGTGGGGACGGTGACTGATAAACACAAAGTCAGAGATTGTCTCAAAGATCATATGAGTGATAACAACCTTGTTTAAAGCTGTTTTCAGACCTGCACTGAAGCTGTTTATTAAAAAAAGCCAAATATCCAACTCGATTGCTCGGGACATTTTCTATAACGATGATATTTCTAACTTGCAACTGACGCGAAACAAAAAAAATACAAATTTCTCAGGATCACAAAAAGGTAAAATACACGTAGAAGACACTGGTGAAGATGTCCACTTGGAAAAACAACAGGATTCAAGAGCTTTTGGCAACAAGGCCTGACCCCGAGGTCCAACCTGGACTATCTCCTGTTGTGTTTTTTCTTGCGTTCAAGTCTGAAAGCAGCTTAAGTAGCTGTTAAGTTTCCAGTGAGTCAGTGGCTGCTGGTGGATAAATTATATAGGTATCACATTTTGACTTCGGTACTGGTGCGCATTCAAAAATAGTATGCTATCAGAGTACGCTGGTTTCAAGCAGCTGACAGATTAGATTTCTGGAAGTGTTACCCTGAAGGGCAAAAGACTCTTTGACAGAGAGTGGGACTCCCAGCAGAGGCAGCCGGTCCTCCAGCACCTCCTCTCCTCCAGTCTCCTCCTCGATAAGCTTATCAACCTGGGCCGCCTCCTGGAGGGCGGCGGCGAACCTGGACACAGAGGGAAATAAACCTGGTGTTGAATTTCTGATTTAAAAAGCTTGATTTTTAGCTTCATAGCATCACAGTGGACGACGGCAGTGTAGTACATATCATGAGGGGGGTCATTTAAAAAGGAAAATGTAGATATTAAAGTAAATCACAAAGGGCCTGTCACTGATTTCCATCATGAATTGATTTGCAGACGAGGATGATGAAGAGTCAGATGAAGAGGACGACTGGTTCTTTCTTGCCTGTCTTTGACAACAGCGTTCAGAAAGGGGTTGACTTCCTGGATTCTGTCAATGTAAGCCTGCACCACCTCCACACTCGACACCTGCAGACACACAACATATTGGCCTATTTAAGAAGCTGTTAGGATTTATTACACACACACAAACACACTGTGACTTTCTCGTGCTTATAAAAGACTTGCATGAAAAGTTTGACTTGAATTGATTAATCTCATATAGCTTTAGACCAGCACAATATAACTTGAACTTGATCCGTCCTTCCAAGAGAAGCTGTGTATTTTGTTTTCCTGACATGTTTTTAATTTAAGTCACTTAAACCTAAAAAAGGTTTAATTTACTTTCATTCAAGAGCAAGAAAATTGTGACATTGAAGAACCTGAAACCGTCAAATGTTTGATATTTTTGCGGAGCTGCAGTGATTGGACAAATAATCAATAGTCTGTGTTTATCACTGATTAATTATTCAAGCTAAAATGTCAAAAATGTGATGACAACAAATTCTTTAATGTCATAATTTACTGTTTTTGTTGAACTTGTATGAAAGTGAATTGAATATTTTAAGGGTGGGCAGATATTCGTAGCAACCCACAGTTGCACTTATAATATAAAGAGTACAAACTGTACGAAAAATAACGTGCAAGCATATGAATAAGAAATGTATAAGATACAACAATAATCATGATGTCATTCGCACATTTCACTTTTGCTTCCTGATATTTTATATTTAAATATATTTATTTTATCCAATTTTGTTTTTTTTGCTTGAAAATGTCTTAATTAATGAATCGATGATCAAAACAGACTCATTGATTAGTTGTCTAATTACTGCAGCTCTGCAAACCTACAAATATAAACTTATATCTGTTAAATATCTGACTCACACTTTACCGTCTACATGTATGAAGTAAAACTCAGTGTATCACAGCAGCTGCTCATATAGTGTCCACTTCAAACAGCATATATAGACAGATATAGTGATATTATATATCAGGAGTATAAAGGTGCGTAGCTGATCCACAGATTCACTTTCAGGGTGTGGTGTCTGAAATGCCATGTGTAGTCCTCCCCATAAAAGAAATGTATCTGTAGGTTTGATGTTCACAGGTCCTGAGGAATTTGGAGAAAGCCTGAACAAATGGTAGGGTGTTAGGTCACAGTTCAAAGGGGAACGCTAAATTTGAGCTAGTGTTGTCTCTCTTCCTGTCACTTCCTGGATAACCGAGAAGAGCTGGATTAAGAAACCAGATGTGTTTACTTTAAAATAACGTAAACAACACTCC